GGGTATTCTCCTGACATGTGTAAAGATATGTCAGGGAGGCTCAGCACTTATCCAGTGTTGAATGAAATGTGTCTGTCTTTAAAGAATCCAAAATCTTGCAGTAAAGAAACAAAATAGAATGAATCCTTTGTTTTATTTCTTAGGGAAGGAAGCAAATTGTAACACAATGAAAGCAGTTTGTTTTGAAAGCTATATATAGGGTGATAACATTGATTTATATTTCCTGAAAATTTTAAATGAAACCGTGAAGCATTACATCGGATCTCATAATGCAGTTAAATGGAATACCTTTTACATTATATTAATGTACATTAATATTCCTGCTCACAATTCCTGCAACCCTCAAGGCTCCGTGACATCTCTGGCATGTATTTGTGAGGAGGCCCTATTAAGAATTGAATTACAGATCCTGGAGAGAATTTGATGATCCTGAAGTGGGACTGTTTAGCAAAGAAGATAGTTTAAAGAGCTGTAAGCTGAGAATCTAAAGTAAAATACAACTGCTAAAAGTAAAATCCATATTATCTTATTCTAAGGAGTGAAGAAAAGCTCTCTGCTTTCTACTAAAATACATGTTGATACAGTGGCTTTCATGCACGGATCAGAGTTTTTAAGATGGGTGCTTTCAGATGCTTGGAGTTTTGTTCTGTAGTGCTGCATTACTTTCTCTCTTTGGCTATCCTTGCATCTTCTGTATCTTTCATTTGCAAAATGCAAACTTGCATTCACTTTTCATAAAATTTCTGGAAGAGCTTTGCTATGTCTCTTATTTTAGCTTACACAGATGAAATGATTGGCTTTGAGAGAGGCATTCATATTAGAAGGGCAGGACAGTAATTTTTATATAAGTAATTAAAATAAAAAATAAATGCAGCTTTTGAAGTGATGTATAGGAAAACATGTAGATAATACTTAATATAGATACTTACTGAAATGAATAAGAGAAATAGAACACTGGGCTGCTTTCTTCTCATTCATTCCAGTTTCTGGATGATTGCATTGGTAGTGCGCATCTTAAATAAGCATGCAAAAGCAAAATACTTGTGGGACCTCAGAGGTTCTAATTTTTATATGTATATATGTATAAATAATCTGCTTTGGCTATCTTAGATGCTTTTAATTAATAAAAAGATTTGGATGTACTGTTTCATATGAATTAAATAATTGGGAAGGATGGCTTTTTCTTCTTTTATAGTCTTTTTCTGAGTAAAAGAAAGTGCATTAAAGCACCTTTATTTGACATTCAAGTAACTGCAAGATGTTAATGTTTCTTATGATTTTTTATCTTTGATGCTGTTCAGCTCAGTAGCTTGTGCATTAATATGGGAGATACTTATTGCCAGTCAGCAACAGTTTTTGTTTTATTTTTATAATGTGGTCAGTTAGACTGAAAGCAAATTGTCAGCCTTTATAATTTGATTTTCAGACAGCTGAAGCTCATTCTCTTTTTGATGAAGATTTTCAGCCAAACTTGTCATTTTCCTTTTCTTATATAACCCGCTTCAGACCTGCACAGTAGATTATAGTTCATAACCTTCAAATGAAGCGGCCTTCCTCCTGCAGTAGATTGATTTGGGGGGATGATGATGATAATGATGAATTAGGCAGCAGTACCTGGCCAACCTTGACTGATCCTAAAAAGCTGAGCACAACCAGACCTATTTAGTATATGCGTGGGGACAGTAAGGAAATTTTAGGGCTGTAGGCCAGATGGTAAAGAAGACAATGGCAGACCACTAATGCGTTGTTGCTAAGAAATCTACATGGACATGTCCATTAAATCACCAAGAATCAAGCTCAACTTAAAAGAGACTTTGTGTTTATCTATTGTTGTGAAGCACATTGAAAGATTACGTCTAAGTAACACATCATACCTATTACTGCATATTTTTGTAAGCGAAGCTGTTTTCCATACACACACATACCCCCCCCCCCCTACTTGAGACGTATAATAAGATGCTCCAGGGAAAACAGTGTTCGAGATTTGGTTAGTTGGCAGCTCAGAGCATAGAAATAACTAAGGGGCAGGTGGCTGATCAGCTTCATCCTATGAAGAAACTCATTCCTAGTAGTATTACTAATTTTTAATCATGGTGTGGTCAAATTTTTAGACACCATACCACACTGCTCAGAGTTATGCTACTTTTTTGTTTTGGATTTAATATCCAGCTCAGAGTTGAGAAACTTTTGCAGTTAGGTTCTACTGATTTTATTGTGGAATTTGAGTTGAACAGTAATTGAACCTTGATTCTTTGCCAGATAGAATGTTCCCCAACTATATAGAAGTTGGAATATCTAGGAAAATGGCAATAGAAAAAATAAATTTACCTGGAGAGTATCTTGAATTTCTGTGAAATAAAGATAGATATCCTGTATGTTAAAGATATGAAAGAAGGCAGTGAATTTCTTTTAGAGTGAAATGGCTTTGTTATGGCACAGATGGCAGTCCAGAGTTCAATTTTGCAAAAAAAAATAAAATAAAAACATATGTTCAGGAAAGATGCATTTGCACATGTAGATTAGAAAAAACTCAAGTTGTGAATAGTAGATTAAAGCTATAAGAATAGCATCTATTTAGGGTTATTTTAATAATTAAATAAGTAACTATATATCACATGATTTAATGTTGGGTTTGCAAATCAGGTTTTGAATAGAGAAAAAAACTGTTTTAAGTGAGAAAATCTTAAGTGAAATGTTTTAAGAATTTCAGTTAATTAGAAGCTGAAAATAATGAGAAATTCTGAATGTAAAGGACATGTCATATTTTGTGGATCTTGTACCTACCAAAGTGTTTTGCTTATCATTTGTTACAGTACTTTAGAATGATAATATTAGTAAAATTTCTATTTTTGGATATTGCTTGCCTTGCTTCTTATGTGCTGTGATCATTCCAGATATAACAGCACGTAAGCATAGCACCATCAATTCACTGATGGATTGATTGTGTATCATCAAGTCAATGTTGATGCTTAGCAACCACAGGTCTTCCAGTGGTATAACATCGCCACTGTAACTGAGTCTATCCACTTTGTTGCTGGTTGTCCTCGTCTTCTCTTTCCTTCTGCCTTTCCCAGCATTATAGGTGTCTTCTGAGAGCTAAATCTTCACATGTGTTCGAAGTATGAGCCTAGTCATTTGTGCCTCTGGGGTTGATTTGTTTGATGATCCATTTGTTTGTTTTCTTGGCTTTCCATGATATTGTCAGTAGTCTTCTCCAACACTAAAGTTCAAAAGTGTCAATTTTCTTTCCATCCTGCTTCTTTAAATTCCAATTAATTCCAATCAATTCATAGCTTTTACCAATTCTGGCTATTGAAAACTTTATTTGTTTTTCTCCTCTGTTCTATCATTTTCATCTGAGCCTCAGTTCCAATTGCTCCATGATTGACACACTACAGAGATTGACAGATAGCCCTTGGAGTCTGATGTTTGGAGGTCACATAAGCAGTAATAGATTCTGTTCCAGAATTTAGCATCAAATATTGGTTTTCAGTGTCAGAAGGGTTAGAGTTAAATGCCAATTAACTCTTTCTAACCTGAACTCACAGAAAAGCATCCATGGTTTGCTAGTTCTGTGCTTTGGATAAAATCTCTAAACCTCATTGTGGAAAAGGATTATTGATCATGTTTTGATAATTTGCCAATGTGATTTAAGGCCCCAGATCACATCCAAATATTCTTGTTTGAAATTGTGCAGTTTTAGGTTGGAAAAGTGCAACCTAACGAACAATGCTAATACATCTGCATAGCTTTATTTTCTCTTATTTAGGGGGTGTAAACAACAAACCTTAAGTTTGTTATCTCAAGTGTTTAATATACAAATCTTTATCATTTGTGCTTAATGTATATATAATATTATAGATCTGTTCCTCTGCAGCTTGGAGCATACGCTTTATGGAGAAAGATACTGTATTGTGTGTCTCCATGTGGTTCAAAGATTCTCTTGTAACAATGATAGGAAGTCCCATTTTATAACCTGTTGCAGGAAAGCCTCAATCTGCAAGGATAGATGGCTCCCCTTTCTTTCTACTTACTGACATTAAAATGGACATGCTAGCCTATCCTTTGTATAAGTCTGTGTTTGCCATTGGATATAGCCTCCCAAATGCCCTAGCCCAGCCTTCCCCTCTGTAGCTGAAACTAAAAGGTGGGGTTCATGCAGTTAGGGGGTGAGGAAATGAAGGAGCAGCAAGCTCCTCAGATGACCACCACCAGCTAGCCAGCCCAGTGTTTCTCTCTAGCTGAGCCTCCCTGTAGAACAATTACGATCTCCTCTCCCAACTTTCAGTGAGATAAAATGAGATTAAGCTGCATGGTTTTCTAGTGATTGGCAAAAGAGATTTTTTTCTAGCCTTTGTCACTTAAAGAAACCTTAGTATAATTTTCTACCGGCAGCAGAGGAATCTAAGACTGGCCATTAGAGTGCTAAGGGGCTGAGGCATTTGTGCTGCTGTGATATATTAGCAGTAAAACAAGCCCTAAGAAAACCTTCGTCATTCTAAACAGAAAGGTTTCTCCTAGGTTTGTTCTGGTCACATATTGGCCCTAAATGCAGCAGATATATCAGTTTGATATGTAGTTTTTGCTGAATGTACTTACAATTGTAAGTGTGAGTGCCTTGACTGATCTGCGCTTTTAGTTTCCAGCAAACCAAGGAATTTTGTTGGGGGATTTGCTGCAGTGATCATTGATAGGACACATTGCCCACTAGTTTTCTACAGTATGCAATGTTGCATTTCAAATCTGCAGTTAAACATTTCATTCTCTTCATTACCTTTTCAATAATTAGGGCCGTAGTAGCTTATTGCTAAAATATATCTTTAGAATTTGTTTCAATTATGCTGCATTGCTATTAACAAAATTCACTCTTTAAATATTCTGTTTTTTTTCTTAAGAAAATGATTGCTAGGCTTGAAATGAATTGTGCTTTAAAAACTTTAAAATTTTGCTTTTCAGAGCTGGTCTCTCTGAAATGCTAATATCATTGCATTTTCTTAAAGGAGGCCAGGCAACTCTACGTAGAATATAAAGAAACAAAAATAAAAGAGAAAGAAGAGGCTTTGGCAAGAGCTGAACTGGAAACACTTCAGAGTGAGTTTTTTTTAAGTGCAGTTTTATTGCATTTATCCTTTCTAAAATGGTATGTGTGGGAGGCAGGGGGTGGGTGGGTTTTCCACCTATCTCAGCATGTCCCATTTTCTACACAGATGGAGTCTAACTGAAATCTAATTCTATAGATGCAGTCAGATTCCATCTGTGCAGAAAATGGGTTTACTAGGGATCAGATTAACTGCAGTATGAAATTCCCAAAATTACTTCTGAATTCCTGTTGTCTTACTGCATTCAAATCAATTAGTCAGGTAAGAAATAAGGTTGGATAAAACACCAGAAAAGTTTTAATAATTCCAAAAGATATAACTTTAGATAATGTCTTGAAGAAATAGTAATCAATGCAAGCTTCCCTTGGTTTTGTGCCTTCCTGGAAAAAAATAAAATAATTGCTGGTAAATGTTATAGCAGTTCCAAATTGGTTTGACTACTAAGCACCATAAAATGTGCTCAAAATGATGGGCACCTACAGAAAATGTTGCTGTGCATAACTTATACAGAAAAGATGTGATCCCTTTGAAATTTTGAAGTAGAACGTTTGAGACTTCTCTCATCTGCTCCACCTTGATTTAATTGCAATATGTGAGTTGCTTGCTGTGTAGAAAAGCTGTGAATATTATTTCTTCTTTTCCTCCTTCTCTTATTTAGTTTGTAATTGTTTTGCATCATAAAATGCTTGGCAATATTCTGCAGGCATTATTGCCTTTTGATGGTACTGTAGTTTGCCCCATTTCTGTCATATTAAGAAGGAGTAGGCAACGTGAGAACTTCAGGCATCAGTATGTCCCTGGACAATCTCTCTTAGTGTCTACCAGACTCCATGCCCAACTGACCTTTTTAAAAATAGGAAGCTGGAAATTTGCAAAGCAGAACTCTAGGCTATAGCATTGTAGTTTTTTCAGCCATGCCTTTGGGCACCAGAAAGGTTCTTTAGGATAGTAGAGAGCATCCTGCGAGGCTAGTTCATTCTCTGGCGAATGGATCTTTTTCTGTTTAGCCATACCCATCATAGTTGCGGTTTAGTACATAGGTAAAGTTTCCCATAGCAGCTATTTTGTAAGTATACCTGCCAGATGCTCTGAAAATTCCAAATGTGCTTATAGTCCAAAAAAGTTCTCTATTCCTCTCATGAATTTATCTGTTTCCAGCCACATATATCACATGCTATGATAGCAAACTCCAGCATGAATTTATTCCATTTATGGTTACTTTTATCTCTGTATGACTTCTTTCTACCCCCAGCTGAGTTTTTATTTATTTATTTTGTTCTATAGAATGGAAAGTAGGGTATCAGGCTATTAATCAATTTCAAGTATTTTTATATTGCTGCATTTCTAGGTGGTTTACAAATCAAAACATCAAAACAATGAAAACCATAAACATCACAATAACTATAAAAAATCAGTAAAATTTAAAATTGCTGACTACAAGTCAGATAGAAAATATAGCATAAGGCTTGTCAGAAAAAACGTATTTCCATTGCTTTCTGGAAGCTGGCTAAACTGGGTGCTAGAAGGATCTTGGTATGGAAGCATATTACAGAGAGTCAGGGCAGCAGCAGAGAAACACAATGAAACAAGGTTAGAGGAGCTTGTAGTGAAATCTTAGGGAATCTTAATTGGGTTAATAATAGCTTTCCTAGTAAGTGACATAGTTACTTATCGATTATATAATAATAAAAGTCATCCTCTGGGGGGAGATGAGCAGCATATAAATTTAATAAATAAATAAATAAATAATAAATAAAATATAAGTAAATATATAAATTGCTACTAAAGCTATTGCCCAGTGGCTTTTATTTAATTACATTTGATCCCACCCTTTCTGCAAGAAGCTCACAATGACTTACAGAAGTTATCTCTATTTCCTTACTTTATCCCAGCATTTATTTTGCAAGGTCGAGTAGCATGAGAGAGAATTGACCATCCCAAAGTACATCTATATATAATGCACACTGCTTCTGGGGGTAGTTCTTGCTGAATTAGGACTACCCATCAGCAAGATGGATGACAGATTTTGATTTCACTGCATGAACAACTGCATGTAACACAATACTTTTCTTCATAGGAATAAACTGCAGCCTTTATTGTGTGGGAGAAAGCTAAGGGCTGCTAATGAGAACACCAGTAAGTAAGAAGTGAAACCATCCAGTGAGAATCAAGCTTTCTGTCATCTGTAAAACCTTCCGGTGTTCAGTATTTTGATGTATGGAAGGGTAGTGGTAAGCAACTTGCTGCCCTACAGTTGTTTTGAACTTCAACTTTCTTTGGCCTCAGTTGACATTGATAATGCCAAAGGATTGTGGAAGTTGTAGTCAAAGGATTTGGAGGATATCAGATAGGCTATCTCTTTAGCAGAGTGTTACAGAAAGTCTGTTTGGCCTCAAAAATAAAATATAGTTTAATAGACAGAAAATGAACCATATGCTTCTCTCTCTTTCCCAAATTGTAAAGACATCTAAAATATTTATGTGTTGTGCAATGTTGTGGAACTTGTGCAGTGTAATGGCTGACTTCGAGCCAGTCATTAGCTCTCAGCACAGTTACTTGACAGAATTGTTGGTGTGGGGAAAATTGGAGGAAGGAATGCTGTGTATGTTCCCGCAAGAAAGGTGGGATATAAATTTAATGCATGGATGCAAGAATGAATACATAAATTTTGAACTAGATAAACTGCATTTAGTCTCCAATGTAATTCAGAGAACTAGACAACTTCAAGCCATGATTTCTGAATCATGAAAGTTGTTACTGCGTTTTTCTCTTTTAATTGAATTCCTAGATCAGGAGACACTGATGGTCATGATGATGGTCACTTATGCCTTAGTAATCTGCCGATTGGACTGTTGCAACATGCTCTACATGGCACTGTCCTTGAAGAGCATTCAGAAGCTTTTGCTGGTCCAAGATGCAGTAGCACATGCAGTTTGGGGTACACCATGATACACACACACAACACTGCTGTTACATGAGTTGCACTGGCTGCTAATGGGCTTCCAGGTACAAATCAAGGTAGAGGTGGTCACCTTTAAAGCCCCACATAGGATGTGGCCAGGTTACTTGCAGGACTGTGCTTCTTTGATGGTTTCTGCCCATCCCACTAATTCTAGCAGAGTGGGTGTGCTCTGGATACCATCTGTGGAGCAGTGTCACCTGGTGGGCCCCAGGAAATGTGCCTTCTCTGTCATAGTGGCTATCTTGTGGAACAGCCTCCCCCCAAGATATGAATAGTCCCAACCATCTTGGCCTTTCAGAAGGCTGTGAAGACCTGGCTGTTTCCCTGGGCACTGGGACCAGGATGTTGATGGAGATCTGGTGTGAATGTGAATTGTTTGATGAGCTCACAGTGTGATTTTTTAAATGTGTTTGTATAGTTAGTACATTTTTATTTCTGTTCACCACCCAGATTTACAGTGGGGAAAAAAAGTATTTAGTCAGCCACCAGTGTGTGCAAGTGTGCAGGTTCTCCCACTTAAAAAGATGAGAGAGGCCTGTAATTTTCATCATAGGTATACCTCAACTATGAGAGATAAAATGAGAAAAAAAATCCAGAAAATCACATTGTCTGATTTTTAAAGAATTTATTTGCAAATCATGGTGGAAACCAGACATCTTGCTTGTTTGTAGGTGACCAAATACTTATTTTCCACCATGATTTGCAAATAAATTCTTTAAAAATCAGACAATGTGATTTTCTGGATTTTTTTCCCCATTTTGTCTCTCATAGTTGAGGTATACCTATGATGAATACTTATTTTCCACCATGATTTGCAAATAAATTCTTTAAAAATCAGACAATGTGATTTTCTGGATTTTTTTCCCCATTTTGTCTCTCATAGTTGAGGTATACCTATGATGAATACTTATTTTCCACCATGATTTGCAAATAAATTCTTTAAAAATCAGACAATGTGATTTTCTGGATTTTTTTCCCCATTTTGTCTCTCATAGTTGAGGTATACCTATGATGAATACTTATTTTCCACCATGATTTGCAAATAAATTCTTTAAAAATCAGACAATGTGATTTTCTGGATTTTTTTCCCCATTTTGTCTCTCATAGTTGAGGTATACCTATGATGAATACTTATTTTCCACCATGATTTGCAAATAAATTCTTTAAAAATCAGACAATGTGATTTTCTGGATTTTTTTCCCCATTTTGTCTCTCATAGTTGAGGTATACCTATGATGAATACTTATTTTCCACCATGATTTGCAAATAAATTCTTTAAAAATCAGACAATGTGATTTTCTGGATTTTTTTCCCCATTTTGTCTCTCATAGTTGAGGTATACCTATGATGATACCTATGATGAAAATTACAGGCCTCTCTCATCTTTTTAAGTGGGAGAACTTGCACAATTAGTGGCTGACTAAATACTTTTTTGCCCCACTGTACTTGGGTAGATGGACGGCTATAGAAACTTGTTAAATAAATACAGTTATTATTCAATTAAATAATTATTTAAACCATTATTAAGTCTAAATTTCATTCTGTGTTCAACTTCAGTATCCAAATAATGTTACTTGAAAATCCTAGCAACCCACTGTGTTCCTCTCACAGCTCTGTTTGAAGAGGAATGAAGAAAGAGGAGTGATCAAAGCTGAGGTTTGAGCATAATATGAAATCATAGTTGAACATTCTCAACATATTGTTGAGAAGTTTCTCATCATAGAGAAGATACCTTTACCAACAGAAATCCTGGCTTCTTTTATTTGTTTTCGTGGTATGCTTTATTACATGAACAGAAATATATTTCAGTTAGAAATCTAAATATGGGTCTTTTTAGAAACTTGAAAGAACTTACCACTTTGATTTTGTAAAATTTATTTTAATTATTTTGTATTGTACTCTTACTGTTCCAGTATACATTAAGAACTAGGGTTGCAAGGAACAGTGTTGTAGAAGAAATATTTTAAATACATAAAATGAAAAAGAACACGTGCCATTTTTAGTACTTTTCTTGTGTTATATTTTTTATAAGAACTTTATTGTATTATATTAAGAATACAATTAAAAACAAAAAATAGAATACAGTAAAGATAGAAAATAGAACTAAAAGAAAAAGGACAAAAACTAAAATAGTGAAGATAGATAGAATAGAACGGAAAGCAACTTCTGACTATCTCCCATACAGATATAAATACAAATTTTAAAAAATTAATCTCTTACCACTAGTTAATCCAAATTCACATTATTTCTATCAACACAAACCACCTAAATATTAAAACCCCCAAACATCACTTTCATTCCCCCCCCCCCAAGCACGTAATCTAAGAAGGGTTGCCATAAGGAGACAAATTTAAAAAACAGTATTATCTCTTATTAATACTATTAATTTTGCCATTTAAACCAAGTCCATTAGATAATCCATTCTTCTGCTGTAGGTATTTGCAGGACCTTCCATCTTTCTTGGCCTGTTCATCTTCCAGATTCATCTATCACAACATCTTGTGTTGTATTTTTGTAACTTGTATAATGTAAAAAGTGTTTTAGTCTTAGCCTCATATTTTATATTTCAGATTGTGCAGCATTTGATTCTTAGATGAGAAAATAATTAGCTTCTGATTTTTTCTAATCTTCACTATATGGGTAACTTACTGTATATTTGAACAAAGATTGTGTTTCTAATATGTGGCCATCCAAAGTAATTTTTATTTTCATTGTATCCTCTGTAATTAACACACATGAAGCATATGGGGGCTATGCCTCCTTTTACTAGTGTGCTAGTTTCTAGGTCATAATTCCTGCTACTTGTCATTCCTTCTATGACAGCCGCACTGTCTCCAATTGTTTATCTTGCCAAAATCTTTTTGAAACAAGGTAAGCTACCATAACTCCAGTGACGCTGAACTTGTGAAAAGTTCACTTCTGAAGAAACACAATACTTTGATTAGTGAAATAAAAATTATCTGCTTATTTACTGTCTAAAATTCAGAGTGTAAGCTTGCTATCTCAAATAGCCCTTTTTTCTTTTGCTGTTTTCTATAAGTATGAAAATAGCATCTTTAAAACATTTGAGTGTAGTAGGTGTCTAATCATGCTTTTGGCCAGAATTTGTCATTATATTATATTATTTTTTACAGAGGAAAAGAAACCTAAAATCAAGAAACCAAAATCTGAATTTCCTGCATACACTGTGGCGGAAACAAATGCATTTATACCATCATATGATCATGGAACTTCTATTGAAGAAATTGAGGAACAGATGGATGATTGGTTAGAAGATAGGAACAAATCACTCAAAAAAAAGGCAAGTATACATTCATTCTAAAAGGAAAAAGAAGAGTGAAGACCAGGCAAGGAATTATACATTGACATATTTATATTCCAATATTTGTAGGTTGCATTTGAACAAGTAGTCAAAATAATGGCTACCAAATGTGACAAAGGCAAATTCTGGAATAGCAGGTCAGGGCTGAATCTTATTTAAGATGTATTTCTGTCTAATTGAGTGTAAGGATATGTCTAAACCAACTGTTTTTTGTAGAATAAGTATATTATTAGAACAGCTGTGCTAATTCTGCACTTTTTTTTAAGTCATCTTCCTTATCGTTTGAAATATTCTTATCAAGATGAGAAGTAACATTGAGTGAACACTCCTTTCTTCCTGGCATAAAAGAGAAGTGGGTAGAGTTTCATTGACCTCTGTGATGCCAAGTTGTTTCAATTATCTGAAAAAAGTTAGGGTTCAGTCCTTTAATCCATGGATTTATAGGACACAAACACCCACCTCTAGTTGATGTCTGTGGAATCTTAATATTAAATTAAAATGAATTGTACTTATTAAAATGGCTAAAATGTACTGAGGTTTCAGTGTACATTCTTGAAATCTTGTGAGATTTCAGCCATGTTTGTTAGTTGTAGTCATCTATGCCATTTATTACATTTGTAGAGAGGCTTGTGGTTGCATTTACTTTTCATTTCTCAGGACGTTGTACACCAGCCTTCTCCACTGTGGTGCTCTACAGATGTGTAAGATTACATCCCACATGTTCAGCCAGATCAGCAGGCCATTGGCTGGAAATTAAGGGAGTGTGTCTGGAGAGCCTTCATTTTTCAGATCTCAAGGGTCTCTTCTGGTGCTGTGGTGTCATATTTGCACATTCGCCCTGTTGTATGATGATACGTTGCAAGATTCTCATGCCTTTGTATTTTTTTTTCCAGTTACCCTGATATATCAGGACACAGACTGAATAAAGATATACCTTATTAGTACTCAGGACAACTCAGATGTTAATGCTGTTTGTATTGTACAGTGGGGCAAAAAAGTATTTAGTCAGCCACCAATTGTGCAAGTTAATTTGCAAATAAATTCTTTAAAAATCAGACAACGTGATTTTCTGGATTTTTCCCCCCATTTGTCTCTCATAGTTGAGGTATACCTATGATGAAAATTACAGGCCTCTCTCATCT